TCTGCCCTGCCCCTGCCTCCCCACCTCCAACCTCACTCTGCTTGCTATCTCTCTTATGCTTTCTATCAAATAAATAAAATCTTTATAAAAATACAGGAAAATAGGAAGAACAAAACCCAATTACTTCTAGTCCCACAGCCCCGCCACCGAGAGACAATGATTATTGACTTTTGGCTAGATTTCCTTGTGATCGTTTTGTTCGGTGAAACGTTTTTTAAAAAAACCTACCTGGAATCATATTGTATATCCAGTGGTAGGCTGTTAACCAGCTCTCTGGAAAATAAAATCCATCATGGGTAGCATCTGCCACTTTCTGTGGTGTCATTGCTCCTACTATGGCCCATCTCAGGCTGCCAGAGTCATGCAGAATCAGTTCTCCCCAGCCAGAATGAGCCTGTGTCGGCACACCATGTTATAATTTAAAATCATGACCTGATTCTGCATGACTCTGGCAGCCTGAGATGGGCCATATGCTGTATCAGGAGACCCGTGATATCCGGAAGTTACTCCGTCCATCAGTGACCTCCTAGGCCCTGGGTGCCTTGGGACCAGCTCTCTGCACACTAGGTGGCCCCAGGGCGTGGAGTCACCACTGGCCCCGACCACTGGTCTTTTTCTCACTGCGGGAATCCAGCACTCCGTCTTAAAACCAGTTTAGCTTCTCAGACATACTTGAGAACCTCAGCTCCTCTTAGACCAGACCCTGATCCCAAATCAGACCAAGCAAGGGGTAGAGTCCCCTGAGGACCAGTGTACACAGTTCAGGTGATAGATCTTCCAGCCCCACAGCTGCCAGCACACTTCCTCAGCTGGGAGAGTTTGGGGGCCTAGCCCATCCAAGGGGACAGTCCACAGGGTTGGAAACAGGGGTTCCTCCATCACGTCATCATGGGTAGCTGGGGATCGCTTCAGCCTGTCATGCTACCCTTTGTCCATTTTGTTGATTATAAGACCTGGTTGTTGGTCAGTGGAATGGGACTTAAGTGTGACCTCAGCCCCATGGGCTTAGTGGGCCACACAGGGCCAGGGCTGTTAGAGATAAGGCACTCTTCTTCTGGGGATCGAGAGCAAAATTGGTTTTAATTAAAAATTTTTTTTCATTATAAAAGCACCAATGCGCTCAGGATGGAAAATGTTAAAAATACAGAAAATTGGGGCGCCTGGGTGGCTCAGTCAGTTAAGCGTCTGCCTTCGGCTCGGGTCATGATCCCAGCGTCCTGGGATCGAGTCCCACATCAGGCTCCCTGCTCCTCGGGAGCCTGCTTCTCCCTCTGCCTCTCTCTCTCTCTCTCTGTCTCTGTCTCTCATGAATAAATAAAATCTTTAAAAAAAAAAAGATAAAATCATGACTTTTTTTTCTAATCTTAAAAATCAATATGTACTCATTACTGAAAATTTATAAAACATAAACAATAAAGAGAAACAATCAATGGTCCAGAATCCAAGACCCTCCTACTTAGAGATAGAGACACTCTGCTGGCCTCTAGAGAACTTTCTTCAGAGTTCAGAAGCAACACATATTTATGGCAGAAAATTGGGAAAATCCAGAAGTCTCTGGTATCTCGCCTTTCATAGAGAATTTGGGAGAATATCCTTCCAGCCATTTTGTCTTCTCTGCATCTTTCTAACATGGATGGACTCATAGCTTGAATCTCGTAGTTTGTAGGCATGGTGCAGGCACATTCTCACGTCCCAGGGGAAGGGGCTATCCAGGAGAAGGGCCTTATCCCTGATAATTCCTTTAAAAAAGATTAAAGTGGCAGAAAATAATATTCTGGTTCTTCGGCATGGAAAATGGCCGTTAGGATGAAGCTTGGATTATTTGAAGTTTTGGGGGACCCTGGGTAATTCCAGATGCTTGGCCCCTGCCCCATCTCCCTTCCTTATCTGATGCTCGATTTAAGTGTAAGAACAGGAGTGCCTTTGGGGAGAGAATTAGCAGGAAAATCTAGCTCTTGCTTAAGCCTAAAAGCTAGTTCATTCATTCATTCCTGTAACAGACATCTTTTTTTTTATTAAAGATTTTTTTAATTTATTCATTTGAGAGAGAGAGGGCGAGTGAGCTAGAGCACAAGCAAGGGGGAGGGGCAGAGGGAGAGGGAGAAGCAGACTCCCCAGTGAGTGGGGAGCCCGATGTGGGGCTCGATCCCAGGACCCTAAGATCATGACCTGAGCTGAAGGCAGACGCTTAACCGACTGAGCCACCCAGGTGCCCCTGTAACAGACATCTTCTGAGCACTCTGTGGCAGGTAAGTGCTTGGGGCACCAGCTACAGATAGGAAGGAGACCCCGTGCCTGCCAGGTACTGCAGGCTAACCAGGGAGCTGGGCGCTGTAACCACATCTCAGGTTATGAGGAGCTAGAACAAGGATATTAAACGAGGCGACCCATGCCAGGTGCCCGGGCTGTGCTCAGTGAGTAGCCGCTGCCTGCCAACCTGCTGAGAAAAGCAGCCCAGGTAAAGGAACCTGTTGGGGCCAAGGCCCAGAGGTAGTAGGTAGAAGTGGTAGCGAGGCTCCCCTGAGTCCCAGGCTAACCCGATCCCTCTGTCTCTCCTCCTCCAGATCCCACACCCTATGGACCCACAGGCTGGTTTTTCTGGTTTGTTTCCCCTAGGGCAATTGGCATATTTCTCCAAGAACCTTCAAGAAGCTGAACAGCCTGTTTTCACACTTAGAGAGGGGAGGCCCACAACTGTTTCCTGAAATCTGGGTAAGTGTTATTTAAGGTTTCTTTTTCTTCACATCCTCGCCATTATTTAAGATTGTCTTATTTTAAATATTATGAGTTTGCATATTGTCTGTCTCCTTCGTGGGAACATACCTCCACGATGGAGGGGTGCATCTGTCTTTGTCTTTGCTGTGCCCGCAGCATGTGGGGTGACACCTGGCGCGCCTATAGGCACATATATGTATTTATTAAATGCACTAGTTCATTTGGGGTGAGGTGGACATTTATTTTTCATTTACTTAGAACTTAAGAAAAGGTCTTTGGGCGCCTGGATGGCTCAGATGGTTGAGCGTCTGCCTTCGGCTCAGGTCATGATCCCAGGGTCCTGGGATCGAGTCCCGCATCGGGCTCCCTGCTCCTTGGGAGCCTGCTTCTCCCTCTGCCTCTCTCTCTCTCTCTCTCTCTCTCTGTCTCTCATGAATAAATAAATAAATAATTAAAAAAAGAAAGAAAAGGTCTTTAAAATTCTGTAGAGACATCCTGCTGCTTTTTTCAAAGCTTTCTGTCTTAAAATAATTACAGTCTCCCAGGCAGTTGCAAAACAAGTACTGCGAGGTCCCACAAACCCTTACTCTGCATTCCCATGGCTGCTGCCTTTACAATGCAGTCTGACTCCTGAGCTGGAAGAACGTGGTCTGGCACAGCGGGGCCCCCAGCAGCTTCCCCACCTGCTCATTTCTTCCCTCCCACCCCTCTGTGCCCACCTACTGTCCAAGGCCTGGCTACACTGAGCATCTTTTTGGTTCTTCAAAAGCATCTTCTCTCTTCTACCTCTGGGTCTTGACACGCACCATCCCCTGTGCCCAGAACGTGCTCTTCCTAACACCCCACCCCTATCTGACGCCACCTTCTCTTGGAAGCCACTTCTGGGCTGCAGGCCCCTGTTTGTACCCTTCCGTCTGTGCCCCCACCCCCCCAACCCCGTCCCAGTGTTTGTCCTGCTGGTTTGTCATTGTCTGTTTGCTTGTCTGTCTCTACCACGGCGCAGTTTCTTCTGCGGAATACCCTCTCCCATGCACCCGCAGGGCTGTCCCCTTGTTTCCTGCGGACACCTTTCAACCATATACCATCGTCACCCCCTCCTACCCCATCACTTTGTAGCCCTCACCCTAATTGTTCTTCCCAGATGATGGCTTCCTGACACAGTTGTTTAGGGCATGGATCCTTACAGTCAGACCTGAGTGTGAATCTTGGTTCCACCACTAACTACATCATCTTGGGCAAGTTACTTAGATTATTATCATGTATTGCTCTATTCTTTTTTTAAAGATTTTATTTATTTATTGGGGCACCCGGGTGGCTCAGTCATTAAGCGTCTGCCTTCAGGTCATGATCCCGGGGTCCTGGGATCGAGCCCCCCGTCAGGCTCCCTGCTCGGCGGGGAGCCTGCTTCTCCCTCTCCTGCTCCCTCTGCTTGTGTTCTCTCTCTTGCTGTCTCGCTTTCTGTCAAATAAATAAATAAAATCTTAAAAAAAAAAAGATTGTATTTAGATTGTATTTATTTATTTATTTTAGAGAAAGAGAGAGAGTGAGCTGAGGCAGGGGCAGCAGGAGAGGGAATCTCAAGTAGACTCTGCACTAAGCATGTAGCCCAATGTGGAGCTCAATCTCACGACCCTGAGATCTTGACCTGAGCCAAAACCAAGAGTCAGACACTTCACCGACTGAGTCACCCAGGTGCCCCCTGTCTCCCACCAGAATACAAGCAGGGAAAAGCACTTAGCCTCTCTGAGCTTGTTTCTCAGCTATAGGAGGGAATCCTAATGGCTCACGTCATACTTAACCTTATATGACAGTTGTGAGAATTAATTGCATTGGAAAGTGCTTTGTAAACTGTTACATGCTGTACAGATGTTGGTTTGTTGCCTTTAACTATTTCAGGGTTATTTTGCAAAGCAGGACTCTGGGATCATGACCTGAGCCGAGGGCAGTCACTTAACCAACTGAGCCACCCAGGCACCCATGCACAGACTTTTAAATAAGTCCTCTGTAGAAGTAATATTTCAAGGACAAAAATTTTTATTGCTCAGCTGGATGAGAATGAATTTATGGACCAAAGCCGGTGCAGAGTGTGGGTATTAGACTCGAAATCTCTTTAGGCAGAAGTGGTGGCCAAGAACTCTGGCTTTGGGCTCCAGCTTGCCATTTACTGGCTGTGTGATTCGGGCCCAGTTACTTCTCCTCTGTTTGCAGACTGGACATGATGGTAGTGCCTGGCTCATAGAGTCAGCTGAGACTGGGCACGTTAACACTGCAGCCCCAGGGCCTGGCCCCCAGCGACGGGCACATAAGGTTAGCTCTTGCCATTATGTGGGCACCTCTGCTATGTGCCAGGCACTGTGCTGAGCATTTCCTTGATTTGTTTGTTGGTTTTTTAAAAAGATTTATTTTTTTATTTGAGAGAGAGTGTGCATGCATGTGAGCGAGCACAAGTGGGGGGAATCGGATGCTTAACCAACTGAGCCACCCAGGCACCCGTGTTTGTTGATTGTTTAATGCATTTATTTCTTTAACAAACATTTATGTGGCATGAGTCAGATGCCAGGTTTTGTTTTAAGTGCTTTACAAATACTAACCCACATAGCTATGTCACTTGCTGCCAATCCGGGTCCTCCAGGCAAATACTGTTATAGTCCCATTGTCAGGTGAAGAAGTGTAAGTGCAGAGAGGTTGAGTTGCCCAAAGCTCCATATCTATGAGATGGAGGTGCTTGGATTCATACCCAGGTCTGTCTGGTCCTGAGCCTGCATTCATATCCATAAAGCCCTGTGGTCAAGGCAGGTTCCCTTCCTAGTACTCACTCCCAGGACCCTTCCTGCCCCTTGGATGTCTGACTTGGCTTGGTCTGTCCCCTCCCCTGCTTTCCTTGCTTCCCCTTCTGCCCCTCGGAAAGAAGGAAAGAATAAAGGGAGGGGAAAAAAAGAGAGCTCCCCCCATCCCTTCCTTCTCTCCTTCCTTCCCTTATATAGAGTACACAAATATCTTTTTTTTTTTTTTTGGTGGGAAACAAAGCAGTTTATTGAGTGATAGCAAAATGATAGTACAAAGCTCCCAAGGAGGGAGGGGATCCAAGAGGATTGCCCTAGAGTACACAAAGCTTAAGCCTTAAGCCTTAAGCTTGATGAATTTTTAAATATATTTATACCCATGTAATCACACTGGGTGATACAGATACAGAACATTTCCACCATCCAAAAGCCTCACTGTGCCCCTTCTGAGCCAGTACTTACTGCCTTCCATGGGCAACCTCTCTTCCATCTTCTTTCACCCTAGATTGGTTCAACCTGTTCTTCAAGTTCATAGGAACACAATTCCACAGATAAGTATGCCTGCTTATAATTGTGCCTGTGGGGTTTGCTCATGTTGTTGTGGTTAGCCAGACTTCATCCTTTTTCATTGCTTTGTAATATTCCATGATCTGAATATGACGCAGTTTTTCCATTCCACTGTGGACAAACATGTGACTTGCTTCCGGTTTGGGACTATTGTGAATAAAGCTGTGAATGGAGTGTTCATGTACATGCCCTCTGGTGGACATAAGTCCTCGTTTCTCAGGAGTAGAATTACTGGGGCATAGAAAAGACATACATTTAGCTTTAGTGGAAAATGTCAAACCATTTTCCAAAAGGCTGTACCACAAATACTCCCACCAGCAGCATGTGGAAGTTCTATGTGTCCCTTTCCTCATCAACACTTATTGTCAGATTTTTATTTTTAGCCATTCTGACGAGTAAGTAGCAGTGTCTCTTTGGGAGCTTTAATTTATTTTTCTGATGACTACAATGTTGAACTTCATGTGCTTATTGGCCATTGGGTATCTTTTATTAAGTACCTGTTCGGGTGTTTTGCCCATTTTTAAATTTGCCTTATTTCTTTTTCTTCATGACTTATAGGGGTTGTTTATATACTAGGGTACAAATCCTTTGTTGATACACATTGAAATATCTGCCCTAGTCCATGGTCTGTGTTTTCACTCTCTTGAAGATGATGAATAGCAGTTCTTAATTTGAATGAAGTTTCATTTATCAGCCTTTTCTTTCATGATTGGTAGTCACTGTGTCCTATTTAAGTAACTTTTACCTACCCCCGGTTGTATTTTTCAGAGATTTTTTTTTTTTTTTTTTTTTATCCTGCAGGGCTGGAAATGGCCACACGGGACAGATCGAGCCAGAGGCTGCCTCCGGTGGCCGAGCCGGCCGTGGAGGGGGGGCCGCATCTGCCCGTGGGCTGCGAGCTGGCCGAGGCCAGCCGCTTTGCCTATGCTGCCCTCTGTGGCATCTCCCTGTCCCAGCTCTTTCCAGAACCTGAGCAAAGGTGAGTGCTCTTGTCTCACAGAGGGAATGTCATGCTTCTTCAGGGAGGCCATTATTAACAGCCAGGCCACCTACCGGGTGCTGCCGGCAAAGGGGAGAAAGTCATTGTCCTTATCTTTAAAGAGTTCACAATCTGGGGGGTAAGACATACCTCATTCGTACTTACTCATTTACCTACACCAAGCATTTTCTGAGCACCTACTGTGTGCCAGGTATGATTTAGAGTACATGGAAGGTATACATGAATGAGATGAACAAAGCAGATACTCCCTGCCCTCAAATAGGACACAGTCTAATGGGAGAAAAGATACTTACTTATTCATGCATGTAACATGCATTTATTGAGCACCTACTCTATGCTAGGTGTACTACACATGGAAGGTATACATGAATGAGATGAACAAAGCAGATACTCCCTGCCCTCAAATAGGACACAGTCTAATGGGAGAAAAGATACTTATTCATGCATGTAACATGCATTTATTGAGCACCTACTCTATGCTAGGGTGTACTGCTGGGAGAAAAACAAGGCCTGGCTCCTGCCCTCTAGGGGCTTATAATCTGGGGTAGAGCACCCGAATAACTGACTACCATTATACTAGAAGACAGGGTAAGTGCCTGGATGGGTTTAAACCAGGTGTCACAGGAACAAAAGCTGGACAGGTTGAATGACACCAGGAGGAGGGGTGCACAGGTGAGACAGACTTTTCTCGGGGAGAACAGAGTTGACTCAGGGACAGAATGGATGCTGTGGATGTTGCAGAGAGAGGAGCTCACTGTGGCCCCAAAGCTCCAGGTGGTGGGTGGGGCTAGAAGGACAGAAATACCATTACTGTGACAGGAAACAACAGATGGGAGCAGGAAAAGATAGGATGTTTTTGGGTCTGCAGTATTTTCAAGACTTACCCCCAAAACGTCCCCCATGAGTAAACTTTCCCATGCCTTAGGTCTTACCTGGGTTTTTATTTGTTTTGTTTGTCTTTTATCTTTATCTCTCCCACTGGACTGAATACTTGAACGTATTCATCTCCTGGGGCGTCACCTCCAGGAAGCCTTCCCAGACCCTCCCCAAGCCCCAGACCAGGGTGTTTCTCCAACCATATGTTCAGTGACCCAGCCCTGCAGCCACCCTGCTGCCCTGCAGCTCTTCCCACGCCCACCACCCCTCCAGTTTGGGCTCCTGGAGGGCGGGAGCTGCCTTGTTCACCTGTGAGTCCCTAGAGTCTCTGGTACAGTTGGGTGTACCCCACAAACCAGTACATGGTGGGGGAAGACCTTTGTGTACTTTGTTTCCATAAACAAATGTTCATGAGCCTGCACTGTGTGCCAGGCCTGTGCTGAGCCCCTCCTGGGAGGGCACAAAGAGAAGCGAGTCATTGTCCTGTGTGCCCCGCCCGGCAAGCACACACACATCCGGGTACCACTGTAAGCCCACGTGCTCCTGCCCCGCCGGAAGCCCGGAAGCATTTGCCCTGGGGTGTTTCCTTCCTGAAAGTTTCCCTTTCAGAAGGCCAATGTATTCCACATGGTTGATCTCTGTGTTCTTAGGCCCAGAACACATTTTAAAAACAATTTCAAGGGGCGCCTGGGTGGCTCAGTCGTTAAGCGTCTGCCTTCGGCTCAGGTCATGATCCCTGGGTCCTGGGATCAAGCCCCGCATGGGGCTCCCTGCCCGGCGAGAAGCCTGCTTCTCCCTCTCCCACTCCCCCTGCTTGTGTTTCCTCTCTCGCTATGTCTCTCTGTCAAATAAATAAAATCTTTAAAAAACAAACAAACAAAAAAACAATTTTGATCATGTTACAACTCAGGCCCTTGGTTTCAGTAATCTTTAGAAGGCACCCTGTGGACGTTTTTGGTCCACACAGGACATAAAAGCAAGTCTTTTTTAATGTATTTTGTATCTGAGCCGTAAACGTCACAGATGCCGTTCCCTACAATTAACTCTGTTTATTAAATGTGGAGAAATTATGGGGTAGAGCAGGGCACGGCACATGTGTTCTGTGAAGGGCCAGGTGTCTTAGGCTCACAGGCCATGTAGCTTGTGTAGTAGTCAGGAAGGTGTGGCTGTGTTCCAATAAAACTTTATTAGAACAAAAGCAGGCTGCAGGCCCACTCCGGCCCACATGGGTAGTTTGCCAGCCCCTGGCAACTAGAAGGAGCTTGGACTCAGGATGAGAAACCCTGGATTTCGGGAGAGGTTTTGCCCCTTCCCGGCGCCGAGACCCTTGATTTAACCTCGGCAGCCAGGTGCTCCATCAGCAAGTGGGGGCCAAGACTCAAGGGAATGTTTGGTGCACCTGCTTAGCCAGTGCCTGGCGCTTGGTGAGCGCCCAGGCAGGTAATCACTGAGGAGGAGCCGTGTCTGTTGTGATTAAGCAAGACCTCTGGTGTCGTGGAGATAGATGAACCCTAGACCTGTCACTTCAGCTCCCTGGGGCTGCTTTTCCTTATCTCTAGACTGGGGGTAAAAATAACACCTCCCTCTCTGGTGGGGGTGTGGTGAGAAGTAAATGAGTCAGTGTGAATACAGCACTTATCTGGCCCAGAGGCCGACAGATCATTGCTCTGTGATTGTCATTTGTTATCATTGTTGCTGCTGATTTTCACCCATTTTGGCTAAACCAACAAGCACGTTAGAAGCAATTCCCAGGGCGCCTGGGTGGCTCGGTTGGTTGGGCGACTGCCTTCGGCTCAGGTCATGATCCTGGAGTCCCGGGATCGAGTCCCACATCGGGCTCCCTGCTCAGCGGGGAGCCTGCTTCTCCCCCTAACCCTCCCCCCTCTCATGTACTCTCTCTCTCTCTCATTCTCACTCTCTCAAATAAATAAATAAATCTTAAAAAAAAAAAAAACAAGCTTTAAAAAAAAAAAAAAAGCAATTCCCAAAGCCCTGCAGCCTAGAACGCTGTTTGTTCTGTAATCCGTGGCTGTGTTGCCACTTTACATATGTATTCATTAATTCATTCGTTCATTTTTTTTTAAGATTTTATTTATTTATTTGACAGAGTGAGCGAGAGAGAGCACAAGTAGGGGGAGCTGAAGAGGGAGAGGGAGAAGCAGACTCCCCTCTGAGCAGGGAGCCTGATGCGGGACTCAATCCCAGGACCCTGGGATCATGACCTGAGCCAAAGGGAGATGCTCAACTAACTGAGCCATCCAGGCACCCCTTGCTTCTTCATTGAAAGAAACACATATATAACGCTTTATACGGGCCAGATTTTGTTCTACGTACAAGGACAAATGTTAACGTAATCCTTCCAGCGACCCTATGAAATGGGTTTCTTCATTATCGCCACCATTTTATAAATGAAGAAACTGAGGCACAGAGAGGTTGAGTAACTTGTCCAAGATCACACAGGTAGTGGCAGTGCTGGGACTGGAACCAGTCTGTGCTCTTGACCCCTCCTCTCTTATGATGAGATGCTTTTCTACATCCAAGATTTTCTTCTTGGACATGGGGCCAGGCCATGCTTCGTTGACCTGTAAGTAATGTTTTAGCTCACTAAGTCATTCTCTGCCTCCATACACACCCACATAACCGCCCCAGGGTTATCCCGGTAGATTGCCATGGGGCAAATGATAATAATTGTACTAGCAGTAGCTAACATTTATTGGGGGTTATCAGGTGCAAGGCCCTATTACAATGTCACTTAATCTTTCTATCCAGTCTCTGAGGCATATCCTGTTATCATCCGCATTTTATAGCAGAGGAAAACCAAGCTAAAAGAGGTAAAGTACGGGCATGAAGACAGTCACTGAGGGGGCCAGGACTCCCCTGGGCCCTGGACGTCAGAGCCCCACTCAAACCTCTTCTCCATTGCCTCCCTTGGTCACCTTAGAAATAAAAGTCGGGAGGCCAGCCGACATTCCTTGGGCGTCTCCTACAGGCTCTGCTCTGGGGGCTTCATGTGTACTGTCTTGTTGAATCTTCAAACAGCCTAATGAGGTTAGTCTCTTAAATGCATTTGCAGATAGGGAAACTGAGGCACGGGGGGGTCAGTTCACTTGGCAGTGTGTTGCGTTGCTCAGATGCCCTTTTGGCAATGGCCTCCTCCCGCTGCAGAGAGGGCTGCCTCGGCTGAGCAGAGCCACCTTGCCCACGCTTCCACCCCCCTCCCCTGGCATGTCGCGTGGCCCGAGGGTCTGTGCGTCCCGTGCCTGTGTCCACCCTGCCGTGAGCTTCTCACCCGACGTGGTGTCTTGTGCCTCTGGTTCCTCAGCCCCTTAGGTGTTTGGCTGTCTGTCTTCTTCCATAGGCCACAGTCACCATGGTTTCCGTACATGCTGGCTGTTCCCACCCATGACCTTGTCTGACCTACACTTCCCAGCGGCCTTGTGAGACCTGTTCTGGAAGCCTTGGGGATCTAAGGCACGTCTGTCTTTCAGCTCCTTCTGCACAGAGTTTGTGGCGGGCCTTGTGAAGTGGCTGGAGTTACCCGAAGCCGTCCTGCCAACCATGACTGCTTTTGCCAACGGCCTGGGAGGCGAAGGTGCGGACGTGTTTGCTCCGATTTTATTGAAGGACCCCATCTTGAAGGACAACCCATTGGTGATCATTCAGGTACACCCACCACCCAGGGGGCGGCTGCTGGGGAAAGGAGAACAAAGTCAGTCTCAAAATCACTTCTAGTGGGGTGGTGTAGTTGAAAGATCAAATATTTTGGGGCACCTGGGTGGCTCAGTCAGTTGAGCGTCCAGCTCATGGTTTTGGCTCAGGTCCTGATCTCAGGGTCCTGGGATCGGGCCTCACGTTGGGCTCCACACTCGGTGCAGAGTCCGCTTGTCCTTCTCCCTCCCCCTCCGCTCCTCCACCCTCACTCACTCACGCTGTCTCTCTCTCTCAAATAAATAAAATTTTTAAATAAATAAATAAATAAAATATTTCATTATAATATCACAGGATGATGATCATAGCTAATAGTAAATTATTGTTATTGAATATTTACCATTGATTTAATGTAATACTTACATGGTGCTTATTATGTACCTTGCAAATACTAACTCATTTAATTCTCAAAGCAACTTTATGAGCATAAGTAGGTAGTATGATCCTCCCCTTGTTATAAATGAGGAGACTGAGCAGGGGTTAGGTGACTTGTCCAGGGTCACGCAGCTGACAAGTGGCTCAGCCAGGAGCAGGCTAATTTCCTATCAACATATTGCTAATTCCTGTTATTTTTTCCCCAGGACCTTCTGAGCTTCTCACTCAAGGATGGTAAGTTGATTTTCTAAGTTCTATAAATTTTTTTTAAAATTCTGTAAATTTGGGGTGCTCATCTTGACACTTGGCCAATAAAGCCAGTGATGGGTGTTACCACCTGTGGGTCCATCCCCCATGGTCTTTTTGGTGCAGGGAAGGAAAGGGAACCCTGTGTAGTCAGGGAGCCAGTGAGCCCCTCATTTGTGCCAAACACCGCTGGGGCTCCGTAGCCATTATTTCGTCTCTCCTCACAAGGTCCCGTGGTTTTACCTGCTAAGTAGCTCTGGAATCTGGTTCTTTCCCCGGCTCCACCCACCGCCCTGGTCTGAGCCACCATCACCCCCTCCTGGACAACAGCAGGGGTGTCCTCGCTGTTTTTCCTGCCCCCACTCTGGCCAGCAGTTTGGTCTCTGCACGGCAACTCGGTGATCTTTGCAGAGGCACATGGGACCACGCTGCCTCCTGGCTCCATCCCCACGTGACTCCCCCTGCCCTCAGGAGGGTGGCCCGCACGGGCTGGCCCCGGCCCCGCCTCATCTCTCAGCACACCCCTTCCCGCTCTCCACGCCGGCCTCCCTCCCTGAGTGCCTGTGCTTCCATGGACTTCGCAGGTGCCCTTCCCCTGCCCACAGAGCGTCCTGCTCCTCTTGCCCTCCTCCCTCCACTCAGGCAGCACTTCCCTGGGAAAGTCTCTGGCTTCTGCCTGGGATGCTCGTCCCAGCACCATGTGGCCATGGCTGTGGTTGAACAGTTACCGGATACTTTGCGGGCTTCCCCTCCACACCGTAGCTCCAGGCAGGCAGCGCCACGTCTGGTTTCCTTCACCATGTGTTTCTAGTCCCTAACCCAGCACCTGGAACATAGTACATACTCTAGTAGATATCTGATGAACGAATTAATGAGATAGATCTTATTGCCCCGTTTTGTGGCTGAGGAAGTCGGCTCAGAGAGGTTAAGCGATTTACCCAAGGCTGCACAGTAAGTGGCAGTGTGGGAGTCCACCTACTTTCTCTCCTGGGGCTGTCGTAACAAATTACCGTACTCGGGAAAGCTTGAAGCCGCAGAAATGTATTCCCTCACAGCTCGGGAGGCCCAGATTCGGAAAGCAAGGTGTCAGCAGGATCTCGCTGCCTCCCAAGGCTGTAGGGGAGAATCCCTCTTGCCTCTCTCTGGGCCTTCCTCCGCCTGCAGCCGCGTCTCTCTAGTCTCTGCCTTCATCATCCCGTGGCCTGCTTCTTCCTTTCCTCTCCTCCCTGTATGTCCTGTAAGGACCTTGTACAGGGCGGCCTCATCCAGAGCTCTTTACTTATATCTGCAAAGACCCTCTTTCCAAATAAGGTCACCTTCCCAGCTTCCAGGACGTGGCTTTATTGTTTTGGGGGGGGGTCACCATGCAACCCACTGCAGCGCCCAGGGTGTCCCACATCAGACCACTACAGGGCTCCCTCCCCGTCGCTCCGCCTCTGTTTCTCCCCACCCCTCTCTGCCCGGGCCCCCCGTCATCGTGTATGTGGTTTTTTCTATTCCCTGTGCTGGCGAGAGGTTTTGGCACAAAGACCCCTGATGTTTATTCTGATGGCAGGGAGGAGAGGCACAGAATTGTAAGTGAAATCCCAACAGCCTCCAAACCATCGCATGGGAAAAAGGTTATACCTTTATGAAAAATTACGTAGGGAAAGTTGCACCAGCCCCTCGGAACCCCGGCTCATCGGGGAGTGGAGGGGCGGGAGGAGGAGGAAGAACAGGATTACAAGAACCGGAAGAGCAGGTGCACGAACGTAGGCAGAAAAGAGCTCACCGGGGAAGGTCCCTGGGGCAGCAGCCCAGCGGGCTGGGCTTTGGGCCTGTTGGCGGCCTCGGGCAACTGAGCTGGGGAAGAGAGCAGGATGCATTTCACCTGGGCCGACTCTAGGAGGCATCCCCATCAGCCCAGTGTGAGGAAACGCGGCCTCAACGAGGGAGCAGAGATACTGGGGGTGAAGGGCTGACCCAGGAGTCGTTCTGATGGAAGAGACGGCAGGATCCCTGACAGACCAGATAGAGGGAATGCAAGAGAGGAGCCAGGAGTGATGTCTCAGCTCTGGAAGTCTGGTTGCCTGATGCCAGTTGCCAGGGTGTTAGGACCAGCTGGGGAACCCTGGTATTTGTCTTGAGTGACCCTTTCATGCAAAGTGGGTGGTTCAGGGAACCTAAGAGAGAAGGGCACTGGGACCTCCTCCAGCCCTGCACGAGAGGTCATGGGGACTGTCTTCCCATGCGTGCCTGCTCATAAAGCTGTGTTCAGCATGGTCAGTATCCACGAGGCTGGTAGGGTGTCCAGGTCACTGTACCTTGGGGCTTCTGATTATGAGACTAACACATGGTCTTTTTCATTTTTTAAAAAGAAAGAACCTTAAGTCCTTGCTCTTCACAGTATGGTCCGTGGACCAGGAGCATCAACATCCGGGAGCTTTGTTAGAAAGCCAGGCTTCCGGGCCCCACCCACACCTCCTGAATCAGAAACTGCTCATTGACCAGGCCCCAGGTGCTTCCTTGATAGTCTGAGGAGTGCGGCTCTCAGGCTCAAAACCCAATGTGTATTTTTGGCCCTGCTCTACCCAAACAAAATATTTTCACTGCCTATCTCAGAGCTGAGTGGGACCTCAAGGATGATTTGTTGAGCCCCTGCGCTCAGGCAGGCATGGCGTTAAGTAATTACTCCCGTTTGCTGTTGAGGCTTGCCCCAGGAAGTGGCAGAGATGGTCTGAGAACATTGCCCAATCGTAGCACTTTTTTTTTTTTTTAACAGAAGTAAGGGAGGAATAATCATGTCTGATGCTCCTGGACACTCGTAGAGTCAAGGGTTGCATTTGCATGGAGGTCTGAGACTCCAGTAGCTAGAGAGCACAGACACTCTCACGTTATAATCCTGTAACAGCAAAGCCATGTGTTACTGAGCGCTCACGGTGGGCCTGGCCCGAGGCTGAGGGCCACACAGGCATGGAGCCTACTCAGCACCCTGCAGGGCGGTTGAGGCTATAGACCCAAGACGCATGGTCCCAAGGGCATCTTGGATGAGCCTCTCATTTTTCCAAGTGGAGAGGTGAAGGGCCAGAGAGGGGAGGGGGCTTTCCCTGAGACACACAGCGCTAGATGCAGACTGGGAGTCAGAACCTGGTCTCTGGCCTCTGAGGCCAGCGCTTTGTCCCATTGCCTTATCACCGGGTAGGAGGGGCAGGTGTCCCAATGCGCCTGCCTCTGCCTCAGTTTCTCCCTTTCCTTACCTGGAGAGCCATGTTCATCTTACCCCCTGCCCCCCCACCCACAAACCACAAATCCTCCTGAGCCCCCCTGAGCAGCTAGGACACAACCTAGCCCTCTCTGCTGTGGGGGACCTTGGCCTGGTTCTCGCAGAACAATTGGAGTGGGTTTAAAACGGCCTGTCTCATGTCACCACCTGGTACTTTGTGCCCTCCCAGGGGTATTCTCTGAGCAGCATTGAAACCATTATTATCTGACAGCCTCCCCAGATCGGGGACCCCACAGGGGCAGGTGCTAGGGCTCCAAAGGCTTACAGAGGTCAGGGGTGGGTGGATCCTCAAACCATCTAGACCACCCTCTCAGTGCATAGATGGGAAAATGAGTCCCAGAGGTGGGCCTGGCTTGCCAGTAATTGTCGTGTCCAACTCTTTATCCATATTCATGAAGAACCAGGGACCAAGAAGTGGGGGCATTTGGGGAGTCAGCCTGCCTGGGTGTTAAAATTCAAGCTCCACTTTGGCAAGTTACCGAATGGTTCTGTGCCTCGGTTTCTCACGTATCAAATGGGGATGACAGCAGTCTTTACCTTAGAGGGCAGTGGTGGGGATTAAATGAGATACACCATGCAGAGTGCTCTGAACAGAGCACATGAGTGCTGCTCATGTGTGGTGGTGGTTAGAGGTAAAGTGGCAAAGCCCTGCGAATCAGGGAACCTGGATGCCCATCCTGTCTCTGAGACTATGTCATTGTGTGACCTTGATCAAGTCACTTAACCTCTCTGAACTGCAGCATCAAATCCAAATAAGGGGCAACAGACAGATACTCCTTAAAAACAAAAAACAAACAAAAAACCTGTGTTTGGTTTGAAGAGCATGGCTAGGGATCTTATAAAGAGAAGGTCAGTGTCATAGTTGGCCCACTTGTTCAGGTGCTTCCCCCATAAACTCCATGAGGGCAGGGCCCTGGTCTGGCTTGTTCACTGCACCCCAGCATCTACCACACTGATAGGCACATGGTGGGCATTTAATAATTATTGGATAGATAGATGGAAGAATGGATGGATAGATAGAAGGATGGATAGATAGAAGGGTGGACGGATAGGAAGGAAGGTTGGATGCAAGAATGGATGGAAGGATGGATAAATGGAAGGAAGGAAGGATGGGTGGACGGACAGATGGTTAGATGGATGGGTGGATGGAAGAACGGATGAATGGATGGAAAGATAGATGGATGGATGGATGGCATTTCTTTAGAGAATAAGCTTAGATACTAGCAGGTTGGTTTGTCTGAACCTGAGGGTTAAACCGTCTTGTACAGAGATTGATAGGCTAGGAGAAGGCCTTCTGTGCTACTGGGTTTCTCTCCGAGCGTGAGGTGGGGTGATTAGTCATGGAATCAGCCCAGGAAATCAGTATGAAAGGCTGCGTTTCCCAGAACTTCCTGGAAATTTGACCTTTACCGACACTGTTGGGATCTTAGTCACTAGACAGTGCCACCTTGGCAGCTGGGTGGACTTCTGTGGGTGATAACCATGGTTTCATCCAGTAACAACCACCAAGCTCTTTTCCCACACAAATGAAAAAGTAATTCTTTTACTCGCTGAAGGTTAAACCGAATCTAAGCTGATAACTCTAAACCAGTTTCCTCAAGCTCGGCACTCTTGGGTACTCTTGGGCCTGGGTCATTCTTCGTTGTTGGGCCATCTGTGCACTGTAGGATGTTTAGGGGTATCCCGACCTGTACTCACCAGCTGCCAGTACCACTTCCTGAGCTAT